TCTTTTTTTGCTTTGTATATAGAAATATAATTTGAATCTCTGGGACTCAGCGGAGCGAGTAATTATATAAAGAACTGATGAATCTCTTGCAATTTGCAGCCAATCGACGACAACAGCCCCTTAAAGATGCCGCAGGTGGTCACTCACGGCTCCACGCGCTACAGCCGGCTTGTCAACGAGGCGGACAGCCCCAACAGCGAGTTCATTGAGAGAACTCTGGCCCAGCAACAGGTCAGGAGAGACGTTTTTTTTTTTCTTTTTTGCATGGTGTAGACTTACGATGCATTAGTTTGCTTTGATTACATCTGAGTGGTTTGAATGTGTTTGTCTATCAAAATGTCAGTGTTGCAAAAATTTATTAAGTAGGTGGAGTAGGTGTCTTAATCATTCACAAGTTTATAAACATCGAAGAGAAAGGGGGTGTTCAGTTGAGCCGCATGCATTCAATCATTTACATTAAAATGAATGTACGTGAACACTTGCATGCAAAATATGATGTGAGAGTGATCCTTGCAATTTCTTCCCCTGGGCAGATGATCATGCATCAGCAGGACGATCAGCTGGACCAGATAGCTTCCTCGATGGGAACGTTAAAGAACATGTCACGCCAGATCGGTCAGGAGGTCGATGAACAAGCTGTGTGAGTGGTATTATACGCGGGGGAACCGTAATCGTGGGTATTGTATTTAATGCTATGACGAACTATTCCTGGGTGTAAGTTTGTGTTGGTTCGTTGCACTGATGCGTTTGTCTCGTTTCAGGATGCTAGATGACTTCGGTCATGAGATGGAGAACACTCAGAGCAAGATGGAGAACACACTTAGTAAAATGGCTAAAGTCATGCATCTCTCCAATGGTTTGTATATTAACTGTTTCTTCATTTATAACCTAGATTTGAGTATAACTAATGTGGATGTGGGTTATATATGGTGGATAGATTCAAAGGTTTGAATTTGCTTTGGGAAAGTATGTTTGAAATCCCCTTCCCCCTCCCCCAAAAAAACAAACAAACAAAAACACAGACACACACACATACGTCAGCGAGCTAAATCTTGCGGATTTTTTTCAGATCGTCGCCAGTGGGCAGCAATAGGCGCTTTATCAGGAGTCTTGGTTGTAGTTGTAATCCTCTTCTTTGTACTCTGAATCCCAATTGTATAAAGGCTGCACATTACTTCATTTACTATGGGAATGATATTCTCAAAGGAACTGATTGCATACAACAATAGGTAAAAAAATAACATCCCTATAAAGCAGACATTCAATGCAGTAGAACCCCTAGTTATTTGCAATGTTAAACAGTATAAGAGATCTTCAGTACTCATGGTCAGGAGCTTTGTGGTTCTGTTTATTTATTATTGCTATGTTCTAGAAAGCTTCAGAAAGGGCCATGTGTGTAAGTAGTTGTGTAGAATCTGTGCCAATGAGAGATAGGCATAAAGTTTATATTTGTTCTCAAAGAATTCTTTAGCATAACAGAGTATTATTTTTATGTGAATTTTCATCATACTTGATTTTCCCAAGGAATAAAAAAAAAACTCGAGTCAACACTAGACATGATGCGTGAGGGAGGAGAAAGAGCAGTGAAAGCACAGTGCCTCATCAGCTTCAAAGGTGTTGATGATGGATATTTCTGTTTCTTAAGCTTGGTTCTCATCCATGAGTAGTGTGTAAAAGCACTGATTTTATTGAATTGCAGTGCAAAGAGTGAGGGACTACTGCACATGTTTTGAAACCGTCTAATTGACACTGAGAGGTTAAGGGGTGGGTGCTTAAGGTTCTTACGTTTAATGAAATATGGACAGTAAGTGCAATATAGCTCAAATATTGTTATATTTACTATTAGATAGTTTCCTATCCATATACGGAATATAATTATGCTAGCCAAATGGTGCATTTACCAGAATGCATGGTGGGATTTTTTTCTGCAAAATTGATTAGCAAATTGTCTTCCTTAATACACTTCATTACTATCAAGTTTATACATCCACACTTATGAGCGCCTTAGCACTCTAATGTCCACTGAATTGGTCCATCTTGATGCTACATTTGGTGCAGCTGTTACCACATCTAATTTCTTGAAAGCTGACAGGAATGGAGGTAGTTCCATTTTTTACTTTTACGTCTAATAAGGAACAGATCAAGACTTCTTTCTCGCAGTTGTTAATGTAATATTGTAGATGTGGTTATTTAAGTAAATGGTGCAAGGGAGGTGCTTTTAGAAGCCGATTGTTCTGTGATTGCAGTTTGAAATTAATTGCAGCTGCCGTTGAACTGATAGTGGATATTTATTAGCGAGTTTGGTTTTACAGTTAGTCTCTCCTTTTAGTTCATAAAATATGCAGATACAGTGAAAATTGATTTTGTAAATTGAAAAATGATTAGGCTCGTAGAATGATAAATTTTGAATTGATAATAGTAAAGTTAATTACACAAGTGATATATATTTAGCTCATATGCATGTCTGTACTTCAAGAAATATTTTTAACTTGCCTAATTATACTGAAAGATATCACTAAATTTTATGATTTAGAGTTTTAAAATTAACCTCACTTTCAATATTACTACAACATAAAAAAAGATTGAGAAAGCCACTGAAAGAGTGCATGGCATCTTGTAGCTGATGAAATATAGGTTCAAAACAACAAGAGTCACATTTTTCAAAGGATGAATGTCTTTCTTTTTTCCATCTGAATATTTGAGAGCCATTTGTTATCTCTTTTAAGCTAACCTTTGACAGAGAACTGTGAAAATAGAAAACAGTGCTGAGGTATTAAAAACAGGACTGGGTAAAGTATGTGCAATATCAACAGCAAAATTATTGTTGCTGTGTAATGTTTGTGGTCAATGAAACGAGCAGCTTTAGGTGGGATTTTGTCTTTTCTTTTTGTTTTTAATTTTGCTCTTTTTCACAAAATGTTAAATAATAAAAAGAATGTTATAACTAAGATCGTCCAGATACCTGTGCCAGTTCTAGTTGCTTTTTTTTCCATTTTCTAGGAAGAAAAATTATGAACAAAATACCTTATATAGCCATTATGATGGAATGTTTTTATTCTAGAATTTTACCTTGGTAGGAAGTGTTTTTAATTATTTGCTTCCAGAAACTTGCCATTTTCTGAAGAATGAAATAGAATTGCAGTCTTCTTTTGGGTCATTTAGGATGATTCCAACCTCCCTTCAAGTGATTTCCACCACCAATGAGAGTATCAACATTCCAATGTGTTTTTTTTTTTCTTTTCTTTTTTTTAAATTCTTTTCCGTTTTTAATGCATTACCTTGTGCAGCCGCAAATCTTTATCACCAGTCGTCTTTTAGTATAGGCCATGGCAGTGCTATATATGTATAATATACATCAGATTTAATGCTTTTATAACAGTCTATCCTTTATTTTCATCTTTTAAGGTACCTTTCTTTTTATCTCTTGGGCCTAGCTTTCAAGAGTATTTTATATCTTTGTTTAAGGATTATTGTATAGTTCCTTTATTAATACTATTGCTTACAATCAAAGGAAATGTCATTAAGTTATAAAGCTCATTTTATAATCAACTTAATGCTTCATGCACTGGAATGTAAAATTTATTTTTATTTGTATAGGTTGTATATAAACATATTTGTAATTCATGCTGCCTGTATGGATATTACCAATCTAAAAAATGAATAATTTTTCACAAATCCCGCATTAGTCTGTACAAAAGCCATTTCTAGACACTTACACAATATAATTTCATGGAATGGTAGCAGGGGGAAGTTTAATATGACTCATGTATTATATAGTCCAGTTTAAAATTTTGGTGCATATAACACCATTTTCATTCAGATACTTCAATAACATTGTTATATTTATTATTTAGTCAGTATCATGTATGGATTCATCCCATTCATTGTAAATGAAAATAATTGACTTGAGAGTTCCAGTTATTCTTCAGAGCTCTGCACATGCTGCCTAGTGCTTGCATAAAATATCCTGAAGCCCACCTTCATATAGCTCTTCATTGATAATGGGACTAGTATCATTTTAATGAGAAATCTGGTAAATTTTTTGACCTGTATCAAATATAACTGATCTTGGATCATTATTGTATATTGTATACAATGAATAAAATACATGCAAATATTTTTTGTTGTGTTTTATTATTTGTCTTGTCTTCTGATTATTTACTCTGTAGATTTATTAACAAGTGCTTAAATATCAGGAATCTCTTAACTTGAACTTCCATGGCTTCAACAACACAAGTAAATTTGGAAAGTTTATAGAGTTATTTTTCGTGATGGGTAAGATGGAAGAATACAGTACAGAATTTTTCACAGAAATCTAAATACCTTCCCTAACAAGGACCCTATCAACTAACCAGTATCCACAGTATTCACAGAAAAGAGAGTAGAACTAAACTACTGTTTTGCAAGACTCCACTAGTTATCTAACCAGAATCCATACTAGCACTTGTATATTAACCAATGGAGTATGATAGAAAGCTTTTACAGATAATCCCTGTGAAAACGGTGAAAAGAATAAAGCAGTTCTAATCCATTTTTGGGCGAGATGGAAGAATGCACCAACATCTTTGGAGAGTAAAGATTGGCAAGTTATAAATGGTTGCTATCAACCTTTCCAGCTCCTACTGAAAATCATATTATATTTTATCCACTTTTTATTAATTTGATCATGTTTTGCTTCCATCCCTAGTTTTTGTTCAGGGTTAAAGATTTGGAGAAATGCTTCCAAGATGGAGTGACAGGTTTCACAATCCTAAAAATCTTGTTACAAAGACCAACTCTAGGTAAAATTAATCATTACTCTTTTCCCATTATTTTCTCAATTTACAGATGTACCACATCTGATGTGACATTCAAGACTTGACCTAACTTCTTTTTACTTCAAAGAAAGTACACATACAAATACAAGAAATCCTAAATATATAATGAATGAATCCTTCTAACTGCCTAAATGTATCAAGTGCAGGATCCATAAGATTAACTTAAGGTGAAATCAAGAAAAATTATGTAAACAATTTTTATTTCTAAACTTGATGTTACAATAATAGACAATTGAATAAGATTATTTACAATAGGATTTCCATTCCAAATAATCTGATCATACAAATGCTTTAAGATGATCACCCAACTAATATCATTGAAATACAATTCAAATAATAACTGCAAATCTTAGTAAATCATACACTATTTCATACATCACATTATCGTTTTATACACTGATAAAACTTTATATATTATAACTTAAAGCCAAAAAAAGAAGTGAACACAAGGTCTTCTTAAGTTTTCAAAAGGGAAAGGAGAAACTTCTTTCACTCACTAATGAATAAATAACCAATGCCTTGATTACCTGGGCTGGAACAACTTAAGTCTCTGCAGTCTCGATACCTTGATTTCATAAATAAAAAATAAATAAAAAAAAAGAGAGAGAGAGCTTACACTGGAGTTCTTCACCCCTTGGCACTCTCTATGTAAAACAAAATTATATTAAAGTGCAATATTAACTAAATCTGACATGAAAATCATGCAACTTGTTTACTATGAACAAAAAGGGTGGACAATGACCGTGAAATATATATCATCAAATGAATAAAAAAATATTTCATTTTGATAATTAACCATATGGTGCTGGTTACATCCAGTGCCAACTATAGTTTTATTTTACTAACTCATTTCCCCAGATGGCTTCACAGTAGGTCAGTCACCATGGAGTCAATTACTAAGCCTACCTGATATTACCTATATACCCAATTCATTAATTTTATTTGAGGGGAAAAAAGTTCTCCTCCTTCTTCTTGTTATTATTAAGATTATTATTGTGTTAAATACAACAACAATAATAAAATGAAAATATTATTCACTAAAATTCATGAAATGGGGTAAATATGGAAGTTCAGGTAGGTCTAGTAATTGACAAGTTGATAAAGTGCTTCATGAAGCCATTTATTGTTGATAAATTTCATAAACCTAAAGTCGATACTGCATGCACTCCCAACATCAACAAGTTGCTTTATCAGTATTTGCTTCTAACTCAAGTATAAAAGCTTTCTAAGAGTTGTAAATTATTCTAGTGATTATAACCCTTCCTTCTAAATTGCTTATATTAAACGATGGATACTAATATCTCTTAATTTTTTTCAAATCATAAATGGGGTATTCCTTTTATATGGCATTTAACAATTTTGATTTCTTCTATGTTAACCCTGAGGTGAAGGGGTCATTGGACTAAAAGTGGTCTTTTACAATGTTTAAAAACAAAGAACTCTAAACTATGATGCTAGAACTTTCACTGAACTTACCTCTACCCCATAATGTTAAACCCATTCAGGTTATAAGTTATCATCTTCTATAGCTTGTAATTTTCATAGGTCACACAGAAATATGCAGTTAGCTTAATATAACCTAAAAGAAAGGAAAAAATAAATAAAATAAAAAAAAAGAAAAAAATATAAGTTCTCTTTAGTATTTCAAATTGTGAGGTACACCAAGGCCTAAAAATGAATTTGTCCCAACGTCTTCCAACTATGAATTAATCTCCTTTAAACCTTTAGAAATGCCTTCTAATAGAGCATCACTGGGTATGCAGGCACTCGGTTCTTGGAATATCAATACACTTACTAAATATATGGTTCAGCAGACCTTGTATCAGACACCCAATATGATTATATATGTGTTTATAAATATATTAAGGAAAAAATGCCATCCCTTGGCTTTCTGGCAAAATATGAAAGAGCTTATTTCAATATCTGATAATAATCTAAAAGAGCAAGAAAGATTAAGTAGGGGAGGAAAATGATGCAAAAATGGGACCAAGGTTGTACTCTATCAGAAACATTTCAACATTCCTATATGCAAGGAAAGAAATAAAGAAAGGAATATCACAGTCAGTATTAATCTGTGATTTCTATTCCTAAGCACACAGATTATCTTTTGGAAAGAAACACAAACTTCTCTGGACTTTATGGTATGAAGAGGTCTATGGGCCTTGCTCTTCAAATACACTTCAACTGAATGGAGAGAACGAAAGAAAGAAGAGGAATATGAAAAGTGATACAATGTTGTCTCCAAAAGATCAAACATTTTAGGAACATAACCAATATATATTTTAGGTGACATGTCCAGTTGTCCACCAAAAAAAAAAAAAAAGAGAAATTAGACCTCTCATATCTAAGGTTCAGACTTAACAATGAAGCCTATCTTGCAGTACAAGAAATTCAAGCAAATGTTTGTGATCTTTCATATATTTATGCACAACTGGTTAATAATTAAGCTGCCTTTTAGGTTTCCAAAAGTCTGCAAAGTATGAAACCCAGGTGGCTGTGCCTTAACAAAATAACAGGCATAACTTATGTATAGTATTCAACAAGATTCTGACAGCATTAAGGATATCTTATTTACTAAGTTTTTAACTTGAAATAAATAACACAGTGAGAAAGGAAAACAAACCTGTTACAAAAGAATACCTATCAAACAAAATTTACCAAAATATTTCCCTCTTTAACAGGTATATCACTCACTGTTTCAATCAAATGGAAAATAGCTATAGATTTGTTTATATTTTGGCATAACCACTTGCCAAGAACACTGAATGACAATTTTCACAGGCATAACTGGTATCTTTCAGGTCACCAAGCTCTCTAAGAAAATATATCTGTTGTGATATTAAAGGAAATTGTCTAGTTAAAGATATATATATATATAAAGGTTTGATATGGAACATGGTGGAATCCTAATTTTATGTAATCAATATGATGTCTATATTTAGTTCCTATCAACATTATGTTTTAGTCTTTCATAATACTTTTCCTTGCTTCTCCCACTGACTGCTGCCTAGAGAAAAAAATCAGTATATGTAAATTTCCTTACACTATTTGGCATTTAAACCTCTGCTAAAAATTCCAACAATCCTGACAAATATATCCTGATTATGGATATACGATGGTAAATAATGAGAGCAGGGAACAAAGAAATACTGGGCTACAACTTTAACCTTACATAATAGCTATTTGTGTTGTATTTTCAATTTGAGCTCCAAGTATTAATGCAACAGCCAGGCTCAATTTTTAACCCTGTTAAATACAGTGAACTAAATACTTGCATAGCCTGTCTATCATCATAATACATGTTACTGACGATCTGAGTAGAAACTCTTCATTAAGTACCGTCACCTTTCTTTCTGGACTAATTACCAAGGCTCTGACAATGCATCAACAAACTTGCCCAAGAAACAATCTCAGTGTGGAGAATAAGGGGAAGATCTTACAACCTACTTATCTGGCCAGGTGCTCTTGTAAACTAGGAGCAACTCCCACTCTATAGTGAATAATTCACCAATAGTGACTTTCTCTAGAAAAAAATACAGTAATGCTTTCTTGGTCAAATTCTCATTTTCTCTCTTCTTCCTTTTACAAACTCCAGAGAATTACACACACACACACATGCATACACCCACACGTTTACTCATGCAAGCACACGTCTCAATTTAAGGGGGAGGAAGGGAAGGGAGGTCACCTTGAAAACTGTCTTCGGTTTGTGTCCCACGAATGCCAAGAGAACTAGTGTGTAGCACACTGGATACCCCGGTGTCCTTCAGAATCGTCATCTTCACTGTCGTTGGAGTCTTCACTAGACGACCCTCCTGTGCCATTGCCACCTTCGGCTCCTACATTGCCACTGCTGCTGTTCCCAGCTGTTGCCATCTGTCAGAAGGAATGGAAGAGGATCAGCTATGGTGTTAGCCTCCAACTACTATGCTACATACAACTAACACTAAGAAAACTTGAAATATTCAAGGAGGGGGTTAATAACATCAAAAATGGTAGTAGCAGCACTGGCAAAAGCAAATAAAAAAACAATAAGATTGAAAGTGATGGTTGCAGTAACCATGTTTTCAGTGTTAACATCAATCATAACACCAGTAGCAATAATGGTAATAACATAAAAAAAACAACCACAAATATAACTACCATACTCAAAACCATGATAACCTTTATGATATTGATGATGACAAACATTAACCCAGTGCCACCAAGGATGGCATGTATGTACATGTCATGCCCACTGATGATTGACTAATGATGATGATGATCTGATGACTAACTGATGAAAATTTTAATAAAATAATAATAAAAAGCAATGTGATAATGATGATCTGGTGACTAACTGATGAAAAAATGTAATATAATAAAAATAAAAAGCAAGGTGGTATTGACATATGACATGTGGAAAATGCTTCTTTTTTGTCCACATGGTCTGAAGCAAAGACTTTAGCAACCCAGTATGAACCCATTACAAAATCCCAATTGGGATGATTTCCTGCAACCAAAGCTGTTGCATAGCTCATCAAAGAACCAAGTATGACAAGGATTAGAGAAAAAAATTCCCCATACACCCACTCAGTCACAAATCACATCCTCCCGTCAACTCTACTGTCATAAGGTAAGTAACATCAGATAATAGAACCTGAAGGTAACAATTCTCAGCAGAGCCCTTTCAGTTCATGGAATATCATTATATTTTACAGCAAAGTTTGTATCAGATACCTAATAAGATTACAGTAGTGACTCCCCAATGAGGCATACAAGGCACATATTCCAACCAGCAGACAACTATGTATGCAGCCCAAATAAGGCTTAGAAAAATCTAACAAGGAGGGGCTTGACACAATAACTGGCTTGGAGAGGAAACACTAGCTGGATCAGGGTGGGCAGCACAGGCATGAAATAGTTAAGGGCTGGGCTACCTTACTGGGTAACAACCCTAGACTATGCAGCCAGTAGAGGACTATTCTTGCTTAGACTAGATGTAAACCCTGCTACAAAAAGTAGGGGTTTATCACAACTACTTAGTTCAGAGAGAACAGTAGCAGTATGGAATAGTCAGTAACCAGACTACCTCATAGAAACACACTCGACTAATTGGTATATGGGACTGTATTGGCACAAAGTAATAGTCAGGCTACCTGAGGGTGGCTGACCATGATCAGCCATCCTATAGAGGACTGCAC